GTAATATATTTTTCCATCTTAACTTGTTAACATTGTTGGATCTTTTTATCAGTGTGATAGAGCCCATTTGACTTAGCTTATCAAATGTAGTTGATAAACAAAGCAGTTACGTGTTTGCATATAAGTCCTAAAACTGATTATAAGCATTGATGTGTTGACAAAAAGTGCTGATATGCAATCTTATATTAGAATGAATGAAATGCCATTAAAGTTGTTAGAGATAAATTAGTAAAATCTTGGTCAAACCGTAAGTGCTTATAAGCTGAAAAACCATAAGTTGCGGGGTGACCAAAGGGGTAGATAAGCACTTTTAATTTTTATCAAATGAGTAGATAAGTTAAAAAATATCTGAAAAGCTTGCACAAACACCCAAATAGTGCTAATAACAAGTTGAATCTCTTTGGTATCCAATGATGTAAACTGATCTTTATTGTATCAGCAAAACTAAAAGAATTTTGTTAAGAAATCTCATGCTCAATTGACTAAAGGGTTGGTATCATGGACTTCTAGGAACTTTTTTTTTACATCTTCCATCTTATGTTCGTGGTTATTGCTCTAAGATTCACAAGTCTTTCAGTCAGAAAAAGAACTTGTGTTCTATCAGAGCCCTTTCATTTCGTTTCTTTATCCCTATGATTACATGAGATGGGCTCTAAATCACAGGAAATGGATTTTAGGATGTAGTAGAATTCATTGAATGTTCTTGGTGTATCTTTGTTAGTGATCTTTAAGGTAAGTGCTTATGCGCGTAGATCTCTCTTCTAAGTTGCTTTAGGAAAATAATATAGCAATAGGCGATGCCCTTTTTTTTTAATTTAAAATCAGTATGTTTGGGAAATGCTCTTTGTACAACTCCTTGGTCCATTGGACTGCATCCTAAGGTAAACTTCATTGGTGGTTTGTTAACAATGCAGACATTGCTAAATTGGGGAGATGAAAGACTCTTAGTTTACCTTAATTATGACTTATCCCCTTAAAAGTTTGTTTGCCTCATTAATTAGCCTCTTCAAGTGATGTTTTTCCTTGGTCAGCGATAGTTGTTCAATTGTTCAGAATATTGATTTTTCGGTCCCGTACTTATGTTCAAGTGTAGGACATATACAATCTTGATGTTTGGAATAACAGTACTTAACTAATCTGTTGGTTTCTCAGACAAGTAACATCTGTGAGGAATACAAATCATTCATCTTTAATGATTACTGCTTTTAGATTGACCTAGAGAATTGTCATTCAAAGAGAAATAAATGATAAAGCTAAAAGAAAAAAGCAAGACCAGAAAAGGGAAGAAGAGATAATTTTATTATGTTTTTAAGTCCTAAAAAGCTGCCACATAGCTCATATTCTTCTTTGTTGAAGCGGAAAAGAAATACTTGTCTTCCTCTTTTCTTTTCTTTTTTTTTTTTTAATTTTTTTTTTCTATTTCTTTCTTTATCTGTAATGTGAATAATCTTCAGACCTAGGAGATAGAAGACAAAGAAAACATAACAAGGCTTATCTAGTTAAATCTTGTTTTACTGATTTTTTTAAAGAAAAATAGAAAACATAACATGGCTCAATTGAATTGTTTCTGGTAATGCCTCATGTTGAATTTCTAGATTTCATTGTTTTTCTGTTCCAGCTTAGCTATCAATGACATTCAAATTTCTTCAAACATTTGAGTTTTAATAAGTTGATGAATATCTTGGAGGTGAACGTTTTGTTTATATTACTCCATAAATCTGACAGTGATCTGGAAACTCTAAGCATCATAAATAGCTTTAAACTAGGAGACTGGAATTCTTACCTTTGTGAGTTTCCTTATCCACTCTTAGAGGACTGTACACATTATGCTTAAAAGAATAGTAACACAACTATTTCCGGCCTTCCCAAAATTTGTTTTGTCGTGATAAATATTAGAATGTCATTACCTAGTAGTTACTTGCATATTAGGTCCCATAATTGGTGTTTTGCCCTTGAAGAGACAATAGTTGGATTTTTAAATTATCGTGGTTGATTTTCAGGGCATTTATGGTTATCCTATCGAGATCCAAGCACTCTTCTTCATGGCACTGAGATCTGCATTGGCAATGTTGAAGCACGATGCAGAGGGGAAAGAATTTATTGAGAGAATAGTGCAGCGCCTGCATGCCTTGAGTTTTCATATGCGAAGTTATTTCTGGCTTGACTTTCAACAATTAAATGACATATACCGCTATAAAACTGAAGAGTATTCTCACACTGCAGTAAATAAGTTTAATGTTATTCCTGATTCAATCCCGGAGTGGGTATTTGATTTTGTGCCTATGCGTGGTGGTTACTTTATTGGAAATGTTAGTCCTGCTAGGATGGACTTCAGGTGGTTTGCTTTGGGTAACTGTATCGCTATTTTGTCTTCCCTTGCCACCCCAGAGCAAGCTGCTGCTATTATGGATCTCATAGAAGAGCGCTGGGAGGAGCTAGTAGCAGATATGCCTTTGAAGATATGTTATCCAGCAATTGAAAATCATGAATGGCAGATAGTTACTGGTTGTGATCCCAAGAATATTAGATGGAGTTACCATAATGGAGGATCTTGGCCAGGTTCGACCATCATCCTTCAGCTCTGTAATTGATTTGATACTTTACTTTTTTAACTCCTGCAATTGAGTAGCGCATGACTTTGATTCTCATTGGAAGTAATGCTATACACTTGAGTGCTATGTTACAAGGATAAAGGATTCATTGCTTTGCATAATGTTTGTTCAACTGCAGTTTCCACGGAACTGTTGTCTTAGTTTTATAAGAGAAAGATGGCGCCTCAGTATTGCTACTGAGCACTGCCAGAAAGAAAAGAAATGAAATGCATAGGTTGATTCTATTGATCTTACACTTGCTAATGCAACATATAATTCATCTCTTAAATGCAGTGCTTTTGTGGTTGCTGACGGCTGCCTGCATTAAGACTGGGCGGCCACAAATAGCAAGACGAGCAATTGATCTTGCTGAGAGCCGCTTGCTCAAGGACAGCTGGCCTGAATACTATGATGGAAAACTCGGAAGATACATTGGTAAACAAGCAAGGAAGTATCAAACGTGGTCAATTGCCGGATATCTTGTAGCAAAGATGTTGTTGGAGGATCCTTCACACTTGGGAATGATCTCTTTGGAAGAGGACAAGCAAATGAAGCCTGTAATCAAGCGATCATCTTCATGGACGTGTTGAAAATGTTGAGTTGAAGCAAGAGACTATGGTAGAAATGAATAGAGAAACACAGCAGGTGAGAGATCTTTTTGTTACATTACAAGAACACAATTCTTTGGCTATTTCTGTCCATCTAGGTTTGCTCAAGAGCTTCCTTTATGTAAATTAGCATCCAGCCAGATCAATGTCTTGTTTCTCAAAATAAGAGACTTTTGTTTTGATAGCTTCCACTGTGTTGGACAAATTTTAGATACTGATGCTCTAATTGTTTGGACAAAGACAGTGAATATGATGTTTCTAACTATATCCATTGTTGCCTAAATTGAAAAAAAATGTTGATATATTTGTCCCTTGCTGCAGCTAAACAAAGTTATGCTCAAAGATAACTACCTGAGTAATACATTACAAACTTAGAGGTAGCTCACTAACTAAGCAAGCCTCACTCGTCGTAAGAAGAATAAATTTGCTAACAGTTTTAATACTCTCCTGCTATGCTAGTGTAATTTCAGTTATATATAGTTTATCAATTTGCTGCCCTATTGATAATTAACAACTGATGAAAAAAAATTCAACAAAAAAAGTGTAAATAAAGCACCAATGATCAAAGGAAATAGTGAATAAAGGCTATAGCAGAGGCAGTCTTTATCAGGCTTCCAAATGGAACATGTTTGAGACAGATGAGAACCAAGAATAAGAGCTCTAATAAGATAAAAACCTACAATTGAATACTATAATAGAACATTTTTTTGTGTCGATCGTTAATTTGGATCCCACATAATCCGAACATGTCACGCAAGAAAATGAAAGTCGCCTAAACGACCTCACTTATCATCCAAGAAAATATTTCTGTGACAAATTAGGAAAAAAAGTGTCAATATTAGATACTAGGACCCTCAAACAAAGTGCGAACGTTTGTCTCGTACAAATCGAAGAGAAATGGATCATTTTAGTGCGCAACACCTGGGCAAATCTTACGTCAACTGGGCAAATCTTACGTCAACAAAACACGAGAAAAAATTTGGGTATATAAATAAACAAGCCTTAAATCTTAGTGAAATATTTTAAAGCCGTATAAGCCTAAGTCTAAAGTAGACATATCACTAGTAGATTGAGCTATTACATAAAGCAACTATAATTTGGATATACTATTAAATATAAAAAATCATTTAATGAATTTTTTGAAAAAAGTTAAAACGTGTAATCATGGATGATGGAAGGAGTATTTGTTTGACCAAAAAGAGAATAATACGCTTGAGAATATCAGAAAGAAAGATTGAGCAAAATTCTTATCAAGGGGAAAATATAAGTATTTGCTGTTCGAAAAGAACGGGAGGTTCCAGATACGAAGATCAACGCATCTAATTTTCTTGATAATTTAAATCAAGGTTGCTTAATCATTTTGAGATTTCTAAAATGATGTATCTGAACTTCCATAAAAATATTATAAATAATTGTTTTACATTTAAGAATAGTCAAAACTTGTATGTTTATGGTAATAAAATAAAGGCTCATTGACTATTTCAATATACCATTTAAACCTAATTTTTACAACTTTCAAACATTCAATTTCGTTTTTCTAATTTAAACTTTAATGTGATAGTTTTTTCAATTGAACTTATTGATTATTAGTTTAACATTTTTTCACTACCAGTCAATTAATTTTTTAATTTTTTATTCACTCAACCAGCAGTCATTTAAATTAAAACAAAAATAGTACTAGTAATACTTTCTTTTTTGTTTTTTCATTCGCATTGGAACTTCAACTAATCTTAATTTACGCTGTATAAGACTTATTAAAGGCAAAAGTAATCCCTATAAAATTATTTTATTTTCAGAACTTGAACCTAAAAGTAATACCGCTTTGGGAATGAGAAGGGGGAAGAAACAAAAAGAAAAGAAAACTAAAGGCCTAAAATTGATCTCACATATTCTTTGCTTCAACAGTTGTCTAACTGTAAACCCAAAAAAGCCAAACCAAAGTTCTCTTCCCTCTTTGATTTTCCCTTTCATGCCAGCAGCAACCAGAAATTAGCAGTTTTCTCCAAAAAGGGTCTCTTTGAAATAGAAAAAAAAGGAATAATCAGAATATTTTTTTTTTGAAGAAGAAGAAGAGTCAAAAAGAGTTGTTGTTTAATGTCGCTGAGAATTAAAGCAGTGGTTGATAAATTCGTACAAGAATTGAAAGAAGCATTAGATGCAGATATACAAGACAGGATAATGAAAGAAAGGGAGATGCAGAGTTACATTGAGGAGCGGGAGCGTGAAGTTGCTGAGCG